TTCATTTTTGTAAGAACCATTTATTTATGATTCCTATTTGTCCCTAAAGCTTTCAAATAAGCTCTTTATCCTTTCCATTATTGGTCTGTGTTACAGAAATTAAATGCAGAATCATTTATTAAAATCTAGAATGTCTCAGGTTGAGTTTTAATAATTCTGATTTGGAAAAACAGGAGTGTGGAAATAGAGTATTTTCCTCATGAAAATACACAAAGGAAGTATATGTACACCTGAAAAGCAGGTTCCTGCCAAGGTTTTTTTGGTTTTGTTTGTTTGGTAGTTTGTTTGTTTCTAAATGGGAACTGTTGGGAAGATATTAAAGAAATAATATGAAAAAAAATCTTTGGAATGTGGTTATTCCTATATTATACTTTATATTTTACCATTGACAAATTTCTTTTTCCTCCTAGATCTCTAGAACAGATCTCAGCTTAGGCTTTGAAAAACAGTTTTCTAATAAATGAATTATGGTCACTTGTAAAAATCAGCCTTTTCATATTGAGGTATAATCGATGTTTGAAAAATGTACACTTTTAAAGTGTGCAGTCTGATGACTTAGGGTAAATGTATCCACTCGGGTATCCACCTTTGTAGTCAAGGTGTAGAACATTTTCCATGCCCCAACCCAGCAAATTCTCTGAGCCCTTTTGCAGTAAATCTCACCCTAGACTGCCCTAGGCAACCACTGATCTTCATTGTATCACTACAGATTAATTTGTCCGGTCTAAAAATTATATGAGACAAGAATCACACAATGTGTACTCTTCTGTGACCTTCTTTCTCTCAGCTCAGTGTCTGGGAGATTCATCCATTTATTGGGTATATTTAGCGGTTCATTGTTATTGCTAAATAGCAATCCATTGTATGAATAAATCACAATTATTTTATTCATATACCTGTCGATAGACATTAGATTGTGTTTACTTTGGGGTTCTTAGTGATAGACATTAGATTGTGTTTACTTTGGGGTTCTTAGTAACAGTGTTGCAATAAACATTCATGTACAATTCTTTGCATAGACATATGTTTTCATTTCTTTTTGGGAAATACCTAGGAGTAGAATTGTTGGATCATATGGGAACTGTATGTTTCACTGTACAAGAAACTACAAACCATCTTGACAAGTAATCACACCGTTTTACACACCCACCAACAATCTATGAGCATTCCGATTGCTCCAAGTCCCCTTTAACACCTGGAATTGCCATTTCTTTTTATTTTAACCATTCTAGACAATGTTAGTAGTAGTTCATGTTTTTAATTTAATGAATGGTGATATTAAGACTCTGTTCATGTTATTATTGGCTAATAATGTATCCACTTTGGTGAACTATTCATTAACATTTTTGCCCATTTTGAATTGGGTTTTAAGTTTTCCAATTACTGAGTGGACTAGGTCCAAGTCCTTCCTAAATATACGTTATCAATATTGGACTTTTCAATTTCTTGAGAGTGTTTTTTTTGATGAGTAGATTTTAATTTTGATGAAATTCAACTTTTTTATGGTCAGCAACTCTGTTTCTTGTCTGAGAAGACTTTGCTTAAGTCAATGTCACAACTATTTTCTTCTATGTTCCCTCTGAAATTCTTATAATTTTGCTCCTAATGTTTACTTTTATAATTCATGTCATATTAATTTTAAATATGTTGTGAGGAATTTTATTATTATTATTTGAGGTCAGTAGTAGTAGTATATGGATATTTAGCAATTCCAGCAGCATTTCTTGAAATGACTATTCTTTTTCCAGTGAATGATGTTTGTTCTTTTGTTAAAAACCAATTAACCACGTACCCGTGGACCTATTTCTGGACTCTCTATTACAGTTTGTTTATCTGTATTTTCTATGTTTTTCTATGTTTAGGTTAATACTTTATTGTCTTAACTGAAACATGATAGTAAGTATTTTTTTTTAAAGATTCTACTTATTTGAGAGAGAGACAAAGCAGGATCGGGGGAGAGGCAGAGGGAGAGAGAGAAGCAGACTCCCTGCTCGGCAGGGCTTGATCCCAGGACCCTGAGATCATGACATGAGCCGAAGGCAGACATTAACCAACTGAGCCACCCAGGAGCTCAATAGTAAGTATTAAAGTCAGGTTATGTTTCCACTCTGCTGTTCTTTCCAAAATTGTTTTGGTCATTCTCTTTGTCTTTATGTTTCATATAACTTTTAGAATCACCTTGTCAATTTCTAGGGGGGGAAAAAAACTGTGGTTTTTTATTGGTGTAAAGTTGAATCTATAAAAGTTACAGAGAGAGGTACTGAAATACCTGATCAGGACAGTAAATTAGCTCATTTCTCCTTTTAGTTTTGTCATTTGTGGTTTGTGGGTGTAGATGCTCTGCCATTAACTCTATACATATTTAGGATTGCTGTATTTTCCTGGTAACATTTAAGGACTGGACATCCTAATAATATTGAATCTAAGTGCATATTATGTCTCTCTCTCTTTATAAGAAGCCAATAGAAGAAAATAATGGTAGCTAAAAGTGTTATTTTAGCAAAAACTAAGGCAAGAAAGGAACAACAGAAAAACAAAATATAAAAGGAACAAGTGAGAAACAAATATCAAGATAATAGAATTAAGTATATAAAATTTATATTAGATGTAAGTGGATTTAACTCTCCAATTAATAGACAAAAATTGTCAGGCTGCTTAAGAAAAGCAAATCTCAACTATTGCTGTCTACAGGAGACACACTGTAAGTATAAAGACACAGATGGAAGGAAAAAAAGAATGGAAAAATATATACTGTTCAAATAATAAGCATTAGAATTGCTGTTGTGGCTATATAAATATCAGACCATGTAAAACTCACAACAAATAATACTTTCAGAAATAAAGACAGATTCCATACAATGAGAAAAGAACTATGTTCCAGAGGCACTGAATCTTAAGATGAGTTCCCTGAATAGGCCCTGGGTTTCCTGGAATTGGTTCTTAGATACAATTATATGTGATGCATTCATGGCCCCATTTCCAGTGCTAGAGAGGGAATTGATAGCCCATAGCCTACAGTGGCAAAACATTTACTCCAGTTAGTATCCGTGGATCCCTGTAATCAAATGCCATCAGGAGACAAGGCTCTGGTGACCAAGGATTTGCTGCCATACAGCATTTTAGTTAAAATACAAGTATAATGAGTTGGTTAGTTTCTTTTAACTGCTCTGGAGCACCTGGGGAAAAAAAAAAAATGATGAGCTTGAGAGCCTTTAAATTCCTGCTCAAGGCCCATATGAAAGACCTGAAAGCTTCCACGAATGCCTTGAAAGAATCCCGTATCTGCCACAGCCACTGGACTGAGTTTCTGAGAACTAAACCCCAGGCCTAATCTGAATGATAAAGCAAATTGAATTCTCAAACTCCCAGGGCATCTTTCACTAGAATTCTGGCATTGATTAGGAAATGAAGAGAGTCTAAAAATTCGAAATTCTTTTTAAAGATCTTTATTTATTTATCTGAGAGAGAGAAGGGAGGTGGGGAGGGAGAGAGGGCCAGGGAGAAGCAGACTCCCTGCTGATCGGGGAGCCTGATGCGGGGCTTGATCCCAGGACCCAGAGATCATGATGCTTAACGACTAAGCCACCCAGGTGCCCCTAAAAATTAGAATGTTGACATATAGCAGGTCCTGATGAAACATTACCTGCAACCTCTAATTCTCTCAAAACTTTTCTGCTGAAGAGGTAGCCGGTCCACCCCTGCCTGAGGAGGTCAGTCTCCCTTGTTTAAAGAAGCCATAATGGCCTTCCCTTGGGTACCAGCCTTACAGTGCACCACTGACGCTCCTCAGGCCCTCCCCTAATAACTTTTTGTGCCTCCAGTCCTGTAATTACGCTCAAATCCAGCAGGCTCCAAAGAGCAAGGTACAGAGGGTAACCTATGAGGACATACAACTCAAAACAGTATTTAAAATAGTTTAATAACATTAAGAAGTAATTGTTTTTTTTTTAAGATTTTATTTATTTATTTGACAGAGACACAGTGAGAGAGGGAACACAAGCAGGGGGAGTGGGAGAGGGAGAAGCAGGGAGCCCAACGCGGGGCTCCATGACCTGAGCTGAAGGCAGATGCTTAACAACTGAGACACCCAGGCGCCCCAAGATGTAATTTTTAAGCTACTTTAACCACTTTTAAGATGTAGTTCCTAAAATATACCAATGCAGCTACAATTTAGTTTCCTTAGGTAAGACAAAATATACCAGGGCTATATACTCAAACAATATCCTCATTAAATTAAAACAAGCCAATAGACAAACCTAACTCTGTACCCAAGTAAAACAGAGATTGTGAAATAGTAATGTAAATTTTGGCACATTAATATCATAACAAACACTAAAATGATAAAGATAAATGGCAAAGTAAACCCCCCATATATACACACATTGTCCATTATACATAAAGCTAGACTTTGTAAAAGCATATAGAAATATAAATATATGGGGGCCAAATTACATATACTGTTTTATAATCTGGGTCAGGGTTTTGGGTTTTTTTCTATTTTGATTTTAGTCAAAAAATATATTGTGGTTGTCTCTCCATGTCAATTTATATAGAACTCAGTAGCACTTTTTAACGGTTTCATAATGTTCCATTACATGGATGGGACATAATTTATTTAATTTATCCCATATTGATCTAGGCTTTTGCCAGTTAATAATTAAAAGTTTATACAATGAGGGGCACCTGGGCGGCTCAGTCATTGGGCGTCTGCCTTTGGCTCGGGTCATGATCCCAGGGTCTTCGGATCGAGCCCCGCATTGGGCTCTCTGCTCGGCGGGAAGCCTGCTTCTCCCTCTCCCACTCCCCCCTGCTTGTCTCCCTCTCTCACTGTGTCTCTCTCTGTCAAACAAATAAATGGAATCTTTAAAAAAAAAAAGTTTATACAATGAATGTTATTGTCATGTTTGCTTCCTTGGCTGGCTCTTTTCTTGGGATTACTGGCTAGAAATAAGAGCTACAGAGCCAAGTGACAAGTATGTTTAAAATTTTTAATTCCTCGAGTGGCCTTGTTCTCCGCCTTTCTTTTTTCTTATCTGGGGCCGCTCTGTTCTTGTTAGCCTACAGCCTGCAGTCTGCCTGAGACCGAGCACCATGCCTTCAATTAAGTTGCAGAGTTCCGATGGAGAGATATTTGAGGTTGATGTTGAAATTGCCAAACAGTCTGTGACTATCAAGACCATGTTGGAAGATTTGGGAATGGATGATGAAGGAGATGATGACCCAGTTCCTCTACCAAATGTTAATGCAGCAATATTAAAAAAGGTCATTCAGTGGTGCACCCACCACAAGGATGACCCCCCTCCTCCCGAGGATGATGAGAACAAAGAAAAGCGGACAGATGATATCCCTGTTTGGGACCAAGAATTCCTGAAAGTTGACCAAGGAACACTTTTTGAACTTATTTTGGCTGCGAACTACTTAGACATCAAAGGTTTGCTTGATGTTACATGCAAGACTGTTGCCAATATGATCAAGGGGAAAACTCCTGAGGAGATCCTCAAGAACTTCAATATCAAAAATGACTTTACTGAAGAAGAGGAAGCCCAGGTACGCAAAGAGAACCAGTGGTGTGAAGAGAAGTGAAATGTTATGCCTGACACTGTAACACTGTAAGGATTGTTCCAAATACTAGTTGCACTGCTCTGTTTATAATTGTTAATATTAGACAAACAGTAGACAAATGGCAGCAGCAAATCAGTTGTTTAAGCAGAATATTGTCCTCCTTGCATGTGTAGTTTGAGTACAGATTCCAAACTTATGGCTGAGTTTCTTCTAGTATGATCAAAAGTTTCTTTTTTCTTTGCTCTAAATAAACCTGAACTGTGGGTTCTCTGTAGAAGGTGGCATTTTGGGCTTTCCAAAACTCTCTTTGTAAAGCGATTTCTGCCTAGTTTATTGTCTAGTTAACTTTAGTTTAATGACCTTTTAAAAGTTGGCATTGTAAATAAAACAAGTTGAAAAAAAAATTTTTTTTAATTCCTCTCAGAAAAGAGATACTAAATTCTATTCTCCCAAGATATATGTGAGCATGCTCTACTTGGACGAGTGTCCAATTTCCCATACTCTAATACTGGGTATTACTAAAACTTCTAATATTTGCCAATTTGATATATGATACTCTATCACACTTTCATTAGCATTTAAAATTTATTTTTAAATTTACCTTTTAATGTATTTATTAGGCATTGTGTATCTTTCTCTGTGGAATCCTATTCATATGTCTAGTCAGATATTAATCGTGTCTTACTGTTTTGTGAAAGCCCTTTCTATTTTTAAATCTACTAACACTCCCTTCACCATGTATGCTGCCAATACTTTTCCAAGTTAAGGTTTTTAATTTTCCTTAACTAGGCTTTGTTTCCTTTGAATTTAAAAAAAAACTTAAATTGAATGCATGAATTTATAATAGGTTTTTGGTCATAATTCCTCCAATGAAAAATTCTAAAAGTACTAATTTTTTAACCTCTAGAAATATTAGTTTTGATTTTGTTTATGATATGTGGAATGCTTAACATACTTTTCCAAAAAGCTGTACTATCCATCATTTCTCCATAACTTGCAGTGCATTGTTATTTTTGTCATCAACAATGTACACACTTTGGATAGTGTTTATAGAAAAAAAATAACAGAAAATCGCCCTCCATAATGGCTGGAAGGTGAAACAACACACCTGTTAGGATAAGAAAACAATCACATGAAAGGACAATCACAGGTGTGGAAATTGCATCATCTGCTCATAATTATTCCACAAAATATCACTCCAAATATAAAATATAAGTCCAGTTCTGAATGTGAATTCAGCCTTGGAGAACTTTAGGAGGTACAGAAAGACTGGACTTTAAGAAACAAGCTGCTTAAAATGGAAGTCAAGTACACAGAGTCCAGAAAGACAGGTGCTCTGAGACTTCACAGGGGCCTTTGAAGGGGCCTTCAAAGGAACCACGCAACCTTTGAAGTTGACACAAAGGTAAGCCTAAAGAGAGGCCTTGAAAAGGAAAATAATTAACAATTGACAAAGCCAGGAAGTGCACAGATTTGAGGGAACCAGAAAATATGACCTTATGTCAGCCATTTTTTAGTAAACATATTTTTTTCAAATGCCTAGAGATATTCACTTCACCAAGAAAGTAAAAACATAAAGGTTAGGCCACTGAAGTTGAGGTCCTATTCCTCCTCCGAATGTTGATGGATCATTTTCATGCACTGTGACTGCTGCCACAGTTATTTGGAAATTCTCAATATAGCAACAAATTCCTCGATTTGAAATTTAGTTTCATTAAGAAAACAAACTTAGAGTTGATGAACTGTCTTTTAATACCTGACCACTTATAATGAGTTTTATTGCTCTCCTAAACCAAGGGTAAAATAAAGCATAAATCAAAGGATTAACAGCAGAGTTATAATACGTGAACCAGCAAAGTATCTCATAAACATATGAAGGTGTTATAAATCCCCCCAAAGAATCAATGAATGAGTCAATGATATACAGTAACCACGAGGTCAAAAGTGCTACCACCGTAATACCCAGGGTTTTAGTGGCTTTTCTCTCTCTCTTACTTACTCTGGTTTTGTATGTCCCTGATGCTTCTGCTTGGGTACTAATGTTTTCAATCTTCATAGCCTGTTTTCTAGCCACAAGAAAAATATTACTGTACAGAATCATCATAACAACCATAGGTGCAAAAAATAATAGCCAATCTATCAATATCCAAAATTGATTTATAACAGGCTGACAACCGCCTATGCAGCTGAGAGCACTTACTAATTCCTCCAGCCCATTGTGCACAGCTTTGTACATCCCAAAAATCATTTTAGATTTTATCCTATGACTAATGCATGGAGGTAGAGAAAACATACTTACTAACAGGTAAAGATCTCAACTACCACAGAAGGCAATTTTCTTGATTTTTCTGTAACTGACCTTTAATTCCCCCATGAGCCTCATGTCACGGGGTGCAATAAACATAAGTTCAGTCAATGTGGGGTTCCCACTTTCCTCTCCCAGGGTTACAGCTAAATTCCGGGGGGCTATGTAGTCTGCCTCGCTTCCACAGGAATAGATTGGGATTGTCTGTGCAGGTATCTTCTAGAATGAAATGGCCATCTATCTCATCATGGAAAAAGGATGTTCACACAACTCTAAACTCTGAATGACGTGCTTACCAATCCCCCCATCCAGACCAAGCCCCTTACAGTCTCTCATGGGTGCCCCAGCCCATCCCTGTGGGGCTCAGTAGGGGACATGCTGCTCTGCCTTCTTCAGATTTCACAGCCAGTGTACCCTCATCAGTCTCTCCTGTATCTCCAGGAAAACGTTCCACTTTTATTGAAATTAAGAGATTAACTGGGGATCTTAGTTCTATGTTTCAAGCCCCTTCCTCTCCGGTGTCCTCAGCTAAGACTCAGAGATTTGAGTTCTGTCAGAGTCCTTTCCCAGGTTCTCCCTAGTTTTCTTCCCCCCTTCCATCCCTCCCCTCCCCGTAGCCTCTGCTAATTACCCTGTAGACACAAGGTAACACAGTTTCCAGGAAACTGGAAACGTTCTGAAGTTCTCTCTCAAACTCTGTCTCATCACAGATATTCAGAGGTTTCTGAACCCAACATAACTTCAGAGCATCTACCTTACACCTTTATGCCAATTCACTTAGTTTGGGTCATAGCTCTTATCTTATGGCTTTTAGTAGTCTATGGCACAGAAATGCTTCTTAAAACATGGCAGAAATTCTAGAAAGACCCACAAGTGTCTTCGGTGAGTCTCGGGGCACAGATTCAGGTGTGCAAAACGTGTTACTTTATTGTTAAGGCAACTGCCATATTAATGGCAGTAAACAGCTTTGGAACACCTGCTCTATCTAGGTGTTTTATTTGTAGTAAGTTCTTAAATAGTCACACACAGAAAACCACTGTGAAGTCTGCATGATTATTATCGCTATTTTACTGAAACACTGGAAGTTAACCACTTGCCCAGGGTTAACATCTAATAAATGATGAACTGAGGATTGGCATCCAAGCAATTTAGCTCCAGATTTTGTGTGTTGCTCCTCTATGCTCTGCAACTATAAAGCCCCTCACCTCCAGCTGATAGAACTTCCTCTCCGTCTATCTGGGTTTTCTCTACCTCCCGCACTGAGTTAACCAGGCTCTGTGGATTAGAGATCTGGTCTGGGTGACCATCCACCCTCAATGAGAAGTCCCGTCCGGTCTCTGGACTTTGGTCCCGTCCTGTGACAGAGCAGTCATCCCTCGTACCTGACAGTAAGGCTCCTTTAGCTCTTCTTTTATCAGCCAATTCGCGTGTGCTTCTCAGAAGAATTCAGCTATACTTGTGGCACCAGAGGCCGTGGAACATTTAGGAGTTCCTAGGACCTGTCATGACTCCATGGCACCCTCAGGGGCTCAGGAATTTTTCCTGTCCCTGTACTGTGCAGAGCAGTGAGGTGCTCACTCACCTCAGCTGTCCCAGGCTATGGGCTCAGCCAACCTATGCAGCCATCTCTGCCCTGTGAGATCTGCACAAGGAAAGGAGAATGAGTTTTCCTTGCACTTGGATCTTTTCCCCTTAAACCTACCTGACTATATTAGTTTCTTATGGCTACAGTAACAATTACCACAGATTTACCACTGTTTAACACAACACAGATTTATTCCCTTAGAATTCTGGAGGCCAGAAATATGGAATCAGTTTTCCTGAACCAAAATCAAGATTCTTAATTTAATCACATCTGCAAAGATGTATTTTTCCAAAGAGGATTAACAGTGATAGTTTCCAGTGTTAGGATGTGGATCTCTTTCAAGGGTCCATTATTCAACCAACCACACTGGCATATCAGTTGTTATTCTTTTTCAACCCAGACCAGAGAGAGGGAGAGATGGGGTGCTCCTGCCTCGGAGATCCTCACTATTTTCTCAATTATTTTGGTCCTTTCCTAGTCTTATTTTGGAATACAGGAAAGTTTTGATATGGCCCATAACTTCCTCAAACCTAGTGACTATTGCTTTTTCTTTTCTGAATAGGGCCTGGGCTTTGGGGGCTCAAGTGCTTAGAAAAAAAAAGAAAATCCTTTCTTTCTCATTTCATCTAAATCAATTAGAACACAATAGATGTTCTAAAGATTTTTTTTTCAAGTTTATCTTTTCTAAACTTTTTTATTATATGGAAATTAAAAATTCATAGTAAGTCTACCAATATTTTCCATGAGAAACTATGAAAATATTCAATAGTTTCTTCTAAATTTTTATGGTTTTGTTTTACACTTAGATCTGTCCCAGGTGAATATGTATATCTAGGCATATGTGTTTGTAGAGGAAGGATACATTTTTTTTTTCCCAAATAGATAGCTAAATGTCCAAACACAATTTTTTGAATATATCATTTCCCCCATAAATATGTGACATTGTAAGTTTGCATTATAATCAACAGTGATAATATTTATATGTCATGACAGACAACTGTTCTCACTTCTTCACCTGAAGAAGTGAAGTGACATAGCATATGAAAGCAATTGTGTTGAAAGATAGTTATTGTCATAAATACATCATTTTGTCATGATCAGTTCCACAGTAGATAAATGTCCAAAGGAGACTGTCCCCTAAACATCAAACCTTCGGCTTGGGCCGGATCTGAATTTAACATCTGATTCCCTTGCTGTTGGAAGAGCACTAGTGAGCAGGAGGAGCTAAACTCCCAGCGAGAGCATGAAGCAGAGGGTCTGAGGAGATTGAAGAAAAGAACTCCAGCAAAAGAAGATGTTGGAATGACAGTCAAGAGAACTAGAGTCTAGGGGAAGACCAACAGCACGTGACATTAATGGAGAATAGGAAGAAGGAAATGAGCATTAAAAGAGAGGTGAGCATGAAAGGTGAAAACACCAAGAAATTCCCCTCAGAAGACAGGAAAGAGGAAAAGTGACAAAGCAGAGGAGTGGGCAGAATCAGCAGTAGGAATAGGACCTCACTTCACAATGTCAGTAAATGTT